TCAAAATATCGATATTTTAAATATTTTGAAAAGATGTTTAAGAATCTATCATCTTTCCAGTATAATAAATATAGGCACTCATTAAAAAGTGCCTACATTTTGCTGATATATTTACCATGATGTTCAGTTCAAAAAAAAAAATCAAATGCAAAATTCTCTTTTTTGCTTTCACAAAGCATCAATAACAGTATAAAAATGTCAATGAACTTAAATAATAATCACTAATAACAAATAATCACTAATAACAAAATAATCTAGTTATTTTGTCTATAAATACCAAGTCACTAGTTTGATTGATTTTATAGCCAAATTTATTCTATCTTTTAAAATTACAAAACAGACTTGTTAATGAGTCAGAAAACAAGCTGCCCCCTATTTCTGTAGTTGTCCACTCTTGGTACAGCACCTTCATTTATGTACACCACAGTTGTTAACATCTTATCAATAATCAGCCTTCCAGAGTTGGCAGAATCTTGATATGGTCAAGGTCAATCTTGAAAATTCAAACACAAAGTGCTTTAAAATATCTTTTCAGCATTTTGTTATTATAAAAGAAACAGCTCATTATCATACTTTTCTTCTTTCTCTGAAACTATATTATTGTATTCTAGAGTACAGTTTTAACACAGAACTTTATAAGATCAATTTAAATAATCTGAAATTTTTTCTTTCCTACTTTTGTAGCTTATTATTAACTATTTTTTCTTTAAAACTATCCAAAAGATTAATATCTTATGTGTTTCATATAAATACGAGCATACTTCAATAGTGGGATAGCATGTAGCCAGGAATATCTCATGTGCTTTAAGGCAGCAATGATGAAGTTAATTCATAGCTGCATTTATGAGTTTTATTTATTTTGACCTGTGGTAAAAAGATTTATCTTTCAATTACTAAACTATTTTTCCCAAGTGTCAAGAAGTCATACTAGTATAAAATAGATTAATGTAGCTATAAAAGTAGTTTTTGTTTAAGTAAAGTTTGGAATTAAAAATGGGGTAAGTTACAAATCAGACTTAATCATTCGAACAGTCAGATGGAACAGTAAAAGAATGTGGGGGGAATGAGGAGAGAGATAGAGATTGATTTTGAGCTCGGTCAAGCTCACCTTTTTTTTTTTTTTTTTTTAACATTCTGGCATACTAATATTTAGAAGAGCTGGACAACCAGAACACCGATCCGTTTTCCCTTAAAGATTTAAATGATCATGATTTTTAAAGTCTTCTTGGGTACATCAGTAGTATTATTTAAAAGCCATGCGGTAGTGTGTGAAATAAGAGTATTTTTCAAACAAACACGACCTTTTCTGTTTCTTGTACGGCTTTCTCTACCCAGCCAGAAAACCCAGACAAGTTTATTTACACACACACCCGCACATGCACGCACACACACACACACACCCACCCATACGCAGAGTGAGAGAAGGAGGGAGAGAGTGGCGGAAACGCCCTCTTTCCATCCCTTCCAAACAATTATCTCCGCGAGTAAAAGAAAATAATCAACAGCCCTCTGAGCTGGGCGGCCGAGCCGGAGAGCCAGGCGCGAGGAGGAAGGGCGAGCTGCAGGCGAGCCGGGAAACGTGGCTCCTCCGGCGAGGAGAGGATTTGTGAAGGGGAGCGCCGGCCCGCGTGCGCCTCTGGCTCCCCGTGCAATTCGCAGCCAATCATCAGTAGGTGTCCGCGTCCCCGCGTCCTGCTCACCTCGGCGCCGACCGCCCCCGCCCCGCCCCCGCCCCCAGCCTCCGCCGCCTCCCCCGCCTTTCTCTCCCGTCCCCTCCCCCAGCAGCCGCACACGGGCACACACACAAACAGAGAGAGAGACGGGGGGAGACGGAGAGAGGAGAGAGGAGAGAGAGAGGGGGGAGAGAGAGGGGGAGAGAGAGGAGAGACTCCCCGGCTCCCTCCCTCCCTCGCACACAGCGACTGGAGACGGACGGAGAGCAACGCGCTGGGAGAGGAGACCACCGAGAACACCCCGCGCTCTCACACATACACTCACACTCGGCTCCTTCCTCTCCCCCCACCTCCTCCTCCTTCCACCCCCTCCACTAACACCATCTCCTCCTCCTCTCTGCAACAAGAAAAAAAAAAAAGCCATTTACAGGTATTTTTTTTTTTGATCCGCATATTTATTTATCCCCCCCTCCCCAACAGTTTGTTTACAAGTATTAAAGTTGTAATTGGGAGCTGCCAAGACACATCTGGATTTGTGTTTCTTTGTGTTAGGGGGTGATGTGCAACTAATTAAAGGCAGACTGGCAGCGTCTGCAAATTCTAAGGCTCCCCAAATAAAAAGAGGACTGGTAAGTGATTGTTCTTTCTCTTTCTCTGGCTTTTTGCTCTTAAATGTTTGCTGTCCGTTGGGATTGTAAAAGTAGATTATTAATGCTGGACTCCAGCGATGAAAGGCGTCGCTGTATTAATTTATTAATTAATCTGCACCCGCCCCTCCTCCTGAATGTTAAATATGACCTTTGATCTCTGTGTCTCTGGTAGACCAGACATACAATATTAGGCATGTACAGTCACATTGTTTAAAGGCAAAACAGGATCATGAAGTATGATGTCTAATTTATCTTTGGAATAGGACTATAGTTATTTGTGTGTGTTTTATTTTGTTTTTTAAAGAAAATCCAAACAATAGCTGTGGCTTAGGTACCTTTTTCATGCTCCAGAGATGCATTGATTAAACAATAATGACCTGGATACTGGGCACAATCATTTTCTACAGTTTCTGGTGGCATTAAACCTTGAGGGAGGAAGGGGGAGGTGATGGTAATAAGGAAAGCTTCTGTTTGGAGACACCACTCTAATACTCCGAAAAAGGGACATTAAATTATTTCTTTATTTGGAACAAGGTCAAAAGACTAAAATGTTGAAATTTTTCCCTCCACTCAATGCGCTGGTAACTAATGCATGGTTGGCATAACTAGTTTTTACTGAGTAGCAGTTATTATGGTCTTGCAGTTACAATGTGATTCACAGAAACTGAAGCTATATGCATATTCTTGCTGTGTCTTCCCCCATCGCCTTCCCAGCATCAAGAATATTTAGCCAGGAGCATTTTGGGGGCACCCTTTGTACTGCCTTCAGACCTCTGAAGGGAGCAGTTTTCCCTAATGCGAAACCACAGAGGTGGTTCCCGAGTGATTAGGGACTTGCTGTGATTGAAAGATGCCTGCTAGCTTCTAATCCAGCCTGGGGTGAGGTTCCTTATCTTGATTTACTTTGCCTAATAGGGATTTGTTTACATAAACCTCTCTTTTTTTAGGGCGCCTTCTCATGAGGACCTGAAGTTTTTGCACTTGGAGTTTGGGCATAAATGGCTCATTAATCTAATTAGAAGCATAATTGCTATAATTGATATCCATTTTGAACTGAATATTTGAGACTGAGACTGCTGGGCCCCCATTTGAAATTCCCTGAACTCCACATTCTAGACCAATATATAGGTTTCAGAAGATGTCACAAAAAGATATTCTGTCCCCCCCAAAAAAATCTGGAAACAAAGAAACTGGTTTTTTAGGTTCATATACACTTTACATTTTTGCTTTACTTCTTAAAAGGCTCTGATGTATCTCTCCCTCTGTAATAAACAACTAAAATACCTCTGCCTAAGCATAATAATGCCCTGTAAGCAAAGAGATGAATACAAATACCCAGTTAATATTAAACTTTCCTCTTAAACAGAGCTAAAGAAAAAAAATCATCTTAATGACTATTTCTTCATGGAACACCTTAAATGATGTCCCCCTACTTTTACTCAATGTAAAAATCAGTGACTGTGAGAGAGCCTCCAAGTCCATGCTTTCCTCTTGTCTTGGGAAGAGGCTGGAGTCTCCATTAGGAATTATTGGGAATATTCTTAAAGTGACTACAGGCACTTGGTTTAAAACCTATGACATGGTTTGCATTATTAAAAAAAATTTTTTTTTAAATCTAGTCCATCTTTCTTTTCTTTCTTTCTTTTAAACAAGTAGAACACCACCCTCTTACCCCCTCCAAGCTCCACCACCAAATGGCCTGTACAATTGAGACCTGTCCTTGGTCCATTGAATTAAGACCCTAACAGAGCCAGCTGTGCTGGGATTCAAACTAATGACCGCAGACACAGAAGGACACTGTGGCAGCTGGTAGTTCTTTTTTCCCTGCCTCTTTAGTTCAGATTGTATGTGGGCAGTCTCTTAGCTCTCAGTTGTATTGTGTTTGCTTACAGTTTATACTCGGATGTATTGTAGACTTTCTCAGTACTTCATTTGCTAATTTCCTGTTCATTTTCCTCATAGGGCCATAGCTGTTTTCTACTTTAGAGCATTTGCATGCTCAGGCACCACTTGTTCACACATTTCATAGTGTTTAAATGCCCTCTGCTTATAGGTAGTATCGCCCTCCCACCCCTGATTTGCATGTCTTTAGCACTCCAATTGCCCTTTTCCCTCGGCATTTGTCACCCCCGTCTTTCCTCTTCCCTGGGTATCCTGGCTATTAATACATTTTCTCAGGAGGGTTATAAGAATAGGGGGGAGGAGCCGTGGTGTGCTCTGGGGAGGGAGGGCGCGGGGTTGGGAGCGTGGGGGAAGGATGGGAATGGGGGGGGGGGTGTCACGTCTTGATGATTGTTATGCAAAGGACCTGACGAAGAATGTGGGAGCTCTCTGTGTCTGCGGTGGGGTAGTGAGGGAGGCTGTTTATTTTTTCATCTTTTTCCTCGTGCAGCTCGTTGGAATGACTTTCTTTATTTTAGTTGTAACAGTTGGAGGATAATGCAAAGGAAGACGCTGCCTGGGAATTCACCGTCTGTGGAAATGCGCCCCAGAGAGGAATAAAGCAGTCCTCACCTTGCTCTCCCCACCCGGACCCACTTTCCCCTCCCGCCTCGGCCCCCACCCCAACATCACCATCACCCCCTTCCCTCCCCCCCACCTCCCCCCCTTTCCCACCCAGGTGTCGGACCAGGCGGTCCCCACTTCCACCCTGCACCCCTTCTTCCCCCCTTGCACCATGAACACCAATGTCTGCGTGGAGCCCGGGCCGAGCCCGGAGGCCCCGGGCTTGCCCAAGGAAAGCCACCTGCCCGAGGGGTCCCTGAACAGCCTTGTGGATTACAACTCGGAGATGGAGCGCTACCGCTCCTTTGCCACCTCCTTCTACAAGACCAACGGGGGCGCCTTCCCGCAGGCGGCCAAGATCGCGCGCATCACCACCCCCATCTTCCCCAGCAGCGCCGCCGCCGCCGCGGCCGCCGCGCGCATCGGCATGTCCCCCTGGAACTGCGACAACGCGGCCACCGCCGCCGCCGCCACCGCCATGCTCTGGGGCAGCGGCGGGGGCGGGGGCGGGGGCGGCGGCGGCGGGGGCGGCGGCGGGGGCGGTGGGGGCGGCAGGAAATCCGCCGCCGCCGCCGCCTCCTCCTCCGCCTCCTCCTCGGCGATCCTCCCCGCCGGCGGCGGCGGTGGCGGCGGCAGCGGTGGCGGCGGCGGCGGTGGCGGCGGCAGGACCAGCATGCACCACCGAAACGACTCCCAGAGGCTGGGGAAAGCTGGCTGCCCGCCAGAGCCATCGTTGCAAATGGCAAATACTAATTTCCTCTCCACCTTATCCCCTGAACACTGCAGACCTTTGGCGGGGGAATGCATGAACAAGCTCAAATGCGGCGCTGCTGAAGCAGAGATAATGAATCTCCCCGAGCGCGTGGGGACTTTTTCCGCTATCCCGGCTTTAGGGGGCATCTCATTACCTCCAGGGGTCATCGTCATGACAGCCCTTCACTCCCCCGCAGCAGCCTCAGCAGCCGTCACAGACAGTGCGTTTCAAATTGCCAACCTGGCAGACTGCCCGCAGAACCATTCCTCCTCCTCCTCGTCCTCCTCAGGGGGAGCTGGCGGAGCCAACCCGGCCAAGAAGAAGAGGAAAAGGTGTGGGGTCTGCGTGCCCTGCAAGAGGCTCATCAACTGTGGCGTCTGCAGCAGTTGCAGGAACCGCAAAACGGGACACCAGATCTGCAAATTTAGGAAATGTGAAGAGCTAAAGAAAAAACCTGGCACTTCGCTAGAGGTCAGAGGAGATGATTTCTTGTTTCCCAGTCTCCCCCCTTCCCTCCTCACTCCCCTCTCCTCCCCCCTCCAGGGCTTCTTGTCTGGCTTCAAGATGCAGTACCCTTTTCCTGAAGCTTCATTCAGGTTGTAAGATACAGTTGGTGGTGGTTTGTGGAGGGCACGGCCTCTCCTCGCCTCCTCCCCACCTGCACTTCGCCTGGAACCGCCCTCCAGATGCGGGAGGGCGCACGTCTTTTTTTTTTTTTTTTAGCTCCAGGAGGAAAACTAATGTAATTGGTTTGAAAAATCAGAAGTTTCACATTCAATATGGTCAGAAATTTCCCTCGGTGGTTTATAATGCCCCCTTCCCCCTTATTATTATTTTTAAAAGCATCTGTGCCCAAAGGGTCGGATACATCACATTCTATATACTTATACTGGGCAAGAGAGACTTATTAGTGACCCAGTTGTAACTGTGAGGACACAGTTTGTGGCACACCAGTCTACATACCCTTTTACACTCACGCTCACACACACACACACACACACACAGAGTGATCATTGAAACTAACATGCATGAATTCAAAAGGGGATTTTCTATACTCTTCTAATTTTTTTGTCCTTACCATGACAAAATTTTTCTGTTTTCCTTTTATTTGCATAGTTGGTATTTTTTGAGAAAGGGGAAATAGTAGAGAAAACTGAATACCACTTGCAGTTTTTTTAAGGAGAGATGACAATTTGTAGCAGGTGAGATGATAGTTTTATTGAAGAATTATTTTATTTACATAGTTTAGAAACTAAGGATTCTTAAAACTCAGTTACAAAAAATATAAACTTGGGGTTCTGTGTTTAACAAACCACTCTGTGGTTACAAAATCGTTCTATACATCAAGCACTGTTTTGGTTGATACACTATATGGTCAATGGCAGTTTCTTTTTTCTGTGTGTGCTTAAAACAATGTACAGATTATCACTAAAGTACTTGTTAAATTAGGCTTTCGGTTATGTTAAACAAAAAGATTGATGTGTTTGGTGGAAATTTCATACAGTGACCTGATCACAACAAAAGGGGAAAAATGGAAAATCAGAAGTAAATGGTTTTGGTGATATACTTAGTGATGAAATATGGACTGATAATCATATTTAGCCTCTTGATACAATGTACAGAGTAGATGGCCATATGCTCATATATAGGTGGTGGATTTAGCATTAGGGAATATTCTATGGGCTGGACTGTAGGCTGACAGTGGTTCTCACAAGTTCTCATCAGAGGGAAACCTGCATAATCTTTTTAAAAATTGTGAACAGTGCTTAAAGGAGTTTTCTCCAAGGACTGGCCTTTGAAAGGAGAAGAGTTAAAGATCTTTGCAGGTTTGAACATAAATGAGATACAGATTTTTTTAAGTTTTATTAATATAAATCAAAGCAAATAGCACTTTATAATTCTCCTCAAACAAATATTATGTTGATATCATCATCGATTATGATCAATTCCATCAAAATATTGTGTTTATTCCTCCTTATAAGAGAACCCATGTCTGCTGAGAGTTTGACTTTATTTTAGGGTGGTTTATTACATTCCCTTTGGAAACTCTTCTTACGCAAAGATAATAGCAATCATAAAGGCATGTTTTCTTAGGCATGTGTTTTCTTAGGTGGTAAAAATTTGTTTTTAGCTTTGAATGATCTTCTCTGGATTAATTTACTATAACTTCTAAGGCCTATGGGAAATTAAAATTCAGTTCATACTTAAATCTTCTGTTAATGTTTAGTTGATGAGCACTACCTGGCTTTAATTTTTTTACCCTTGAACTATAGCATCTAGAATTATAGGTTTGCTGTAGTTAAGTGGACTTCATCTTTAGCTGGACCTATGTACTGCCTGCACCCCGATTCTGATTTATTGTATGTAGTAGGTAGGACCATTGAATAATTCTGATTTATTTAGTAAGCAACCTCTCTGAACAAGTTTAATGTGAATACCAGTAGGTTTTCTGCAGAAGTTTCTATGCTGGTTTATTAGTCTAGAACTTCATAAGTTTCTTTTTCTTCCTTTTGATAGTTTTCCCAAAAACTTCTTGTGATCTTTAAGTTCCTTAGGATTTTTTTTTTAATCACAAAATTCCATAGTATTACTTTTTCTTCTTTTTAAAAATTTGCATGCAAAAAGTTCTATTGATCTTCAGCAAGTGGGATGTAGATGAGAGGGGAAACATATTTCTCTCTTTGTAGAGCTCTCTGAAGATGTTCTCCTAACTATATACCGTTTCCTACCAGAGAATTGTTCTTGGTTCAAGGCTAAGATTATTAGTGGAATGCAATTTGGCAGAAAGAAAGAAAAAAAAAATTAATTGGCTAAGATTCTATCTAGGTCATTTTTAAAAGGAGAGGCTGCATGATTGCCTTAAGCACATGTGTAACCACACAGTTATGGTTGGAGGAAGCCAGCTTGACGCATGTCAGGGTGACAGGGTTTACATGACTCAACCAGAGCTGAAACAGTGGTTGCAGGATGGTGCAAAGTCCCCCTGCTGACCTGCCTCCCTCTCTAATTTGGTTTCTGTAACTTATCATCATCTGTGGAGATGTTTTAGATGTCAGATAGACTCCGGAGCTGAGGATAGTAATTTGGAGATTCATTATGGATATTACCTGTGGATTTCAGGTGTAAGTTCAGTAGCTAATATTTATTGGCTTTAAATTAATATCTGGATTATAGTCATTGCTGATACCAGTATTTATCACTTCAAGCCCCACGTGCTCTTCTTTCCTTTGACTTATTCTCATGCCAAGTTCTGGAGGCATAATCAGATTTTCAGGGTGAGTAAACTGAAATTAAGACAGACTCACATGGGTGTGTTGGGCCTCTTGCCCACATTTTTTTAAAGCCTCCCCTCTAGCATTCCTTTTAAAATCGCTTTACTTATTTCCACATTTGCTTGATAAGTCTCATGTGAAGAGCATCTTAATTCCTTAAAAATATATTTACAAAATCACCGCTTTATAGTATTTCATATGATAAAAATGCACATAAAATAAATTTAGCTTTTTGGTGTTATTGTGTACTGTATAGTTGCATATAACACTATTCATTTAACCAGTCACTGTACTAAAAAATTATCACTGATTATTCAAAGCAGTCATGCTGTATGCCCCTGTGTGACAAAACGTATCTTAAAAACTTGTATCCTAAATGGTTAATATTAAGTTCTCAAATATTTTAAGAAATTATCATATATCATGATATGTTCTATGATAGACCTTTGTCTCATACAAAAGTAATCTCATAACAAAGGTGTTCCTTTAGTTTTTATATTCATAGCAGTTACATTTCTTATACTAAGATCTAACTCTTCAAAATCTCTCTACCTAGTCTTACTCGAGGGAGAAAGTCATCCCGTGGGCCACCCCAGCTTCTCTTAGCCCCAGAACGTTGTTCAGGTGACGTGATTGATCTCTGTGGGACAGCATTAGAGACCACACAGATCTGGTTTCTCTCCCATTAGCTGATTTATGGAATTACGTTAGTCAGCGGTGCCTCAGGAGTGTTCCCTGCCCCCACTCCCGGCCCTGAAGAGGGACTGTTAGAGTGAAGAGGCGGAGAAACTGGAAAGTCAGGAGAAAGACAGTCTTTTTTTCCTCTCTTCTCTTTTCTCTATTTTCAAAATTTATCTGCTGAATGTACAGGCCCTAAATTATTTTCCACAAGTTAGGTCAAGCTCCTGAGGGGTCTGGTGGAAAACATCCAGGTATTGTCCTGCACTTGATAACTGGATTTAGAAGAGTCTTTTAAAGGAGGATGTTAAGTTCTTAGAGCCCCAACCACACAAATGGCAATTGTAAGAGTCTGGACAGAGCGTTGACTGCAGTTGGTGCAGGAAGGTGACACATGCTCCCCAAAGAAATGCGTTTGTTCAGTTCAGTCGCTCAGTCGTGTCCGACTCTTTGAGACGCCATGAACTGCCACACGCCAGGCCTGTAGACACACACATAAAATAGTTGTGTCACTCAGATTCAGAATCTGAATGGTTAAATAGTGAAACTGGTCACCAATTAAACATGTCATATAAATTCTTAAAGTTGGTGACTAAAAAAAAACTACAGGTAAAATATGAATGTTTCATACCTTAAATTGTGATATATAGCAGTTTATCATTTTATAACATAATTCAAAAATGGGTTTTCAGATTGAAGAGTCAGAACCATGCCAGTATAAAAACAAAATTTTTTTTGATTGGAAAATGTAAATATATAACTATTAAAAGGAAAGAGAAAATATTTCAATAAATTCAAACAAAATGATAATATATTAACATTGGAATGTAGTATAGAAACAACATAGAGAAAAGGTCCAGAATTCCATAAATGTTAAGAAAAAAGCACAGAAAAGTTCAGCTTTGGCTGAAGTCAGAAAATAAGTTTGTAGTCAAGGCAGCAAAGTGTTATACAAGTCCAATGAGATTCTCTTTCCATCACTAGATTTAGTACAAGGTAGCCAAAGTTGTTTTTAAAAGAATCACACATTTTAAAATAATTCCTAACTGAAAATAATTCCCTTTCCTATCCAAACATCATGTAAATTCTAAGCAATCTTTTGGATGGCAATTAGAAATAGTAAAGTGAAAAAAATTAAAAGCATTTGTAAATTATCCTGTAAGAATGTTTGTTTGAGATTCAGTCATCACCATCACCAAGCAGAATTTTTAAAAAATCAGAAGCCAGTAAGAACAAAAACAAACTTTAGACTTTAATCATATAAAACTATTTGAGTATTTTAAACAAGAATGGAAAGTGTATCCAGTGATGAGGTAGATAAATTTACTTGATTTTTAAACTTGTTAATGAATTGATTACTGAAGCATTGTTGCATATTTTTGTTAGTCAACTGTTTTTCTGGGTGAATAGTTAAGACTTTTGCACAGTTCAGACTTACAGATTGATGAATACAAGACAATTTATAAAATAGTCTGTAAGACTGAAAATTGAAAGGTGTGTCAAAAGTGATGGGCGTTTCAT